TCGGAACTCATACAGGATACTCGGAACTCATACAGGATAATCGGAGCTCATACTGGATACTCGGAACTCATACAGGATAATCGGAACTCATACAGGATACTCGGAGCTCATACCGGATACATGGAACTCATACAGGATACTCGGAACTCATACAGGATACTCGGAGCTCATACAGGATACTCGGAGTTCATACAGGATACTTTTACGTTTATCTGTTTAATGTATGCTATGGCGTGTGTGTTTAAAGTCGGACCCGAATTCGATGAGATTAAAGACATCATTACTGCAGTCATCCTTTACAGCAGACCCTACCGTTCAGGACAACCACGATACATAATCATCTCGACCTAAAACCTAGACTGTTGAATATACTTTCCTATAAGCCCCACATGTGTAAGAAATATTTTGTATGGAACCATATGTTGTTTTGCTCACGTAAATTTTTTGTCCTGTGAGGCTTTTGTAAAAATAAGTACTGACGATAAGAAGAGATTACTATTACTCCCTAATTAGCACGCCCAACCGTTAAACTCAAACTTAATAATGCACCTTTAAGAATGTTTGATCATCTGCTATATAAATATTATGTCCAATAACATAAAAATACATATTAAAATCCTACGCTAGGAGTGTTTACTTTCGACGAAAGAAAATCTAAAGAACTGCCTTAAAAAATAAGCTATTGTGATTGGGCAACATCAATATAATTATATTCTATCAATACTTAGATGTATATTTACATATTTCTCTATAAACAAACATCTTACATAGATGCATCCAGCATATATTTTCAATGACGAAACATAAAGATGTTGTTGAAATCCTTTTGGTATATTAGAACATCGTTGCTATTGATGAGCACAGTAAACAACACACTGTTAGTATTTATATTCGTTCATTTCCACTTTCGATTTCCGTCCGTCCCATACATTATTAAACACGTTGTCTAACGTGAGATGGTCAACACATGCTGTCCACAATCACGTGAACATCAATAATTTGTCCGATAGACAAGGTCAGAAATGTCCTTGATCACATCATTGACCATTCTAACGGAATGAACATCGCAAAGGTCCCACAATGTACATCCATAGCTAAGGTCGATATAACTTTGCCTGAACTAACTTGTCGGAACAGATGATAAGATCGTATGAATTGGACCTAAAAGCGTCCACGCGTCTTGTTTCGGGACGTGTTGGTTTTCTTCATTGAGTAGGGGCGGTTGGGTAGCCTAGTGGTTAAAGCGTCCTCTCGTCACGCCGAGGACCCGGGTTCGAATCCCCACATGGGCACAATATGTGAAGCCCATTTCTGGTGTCCCCCACCATGATATTGCTGGAATATTGCTAAAAGCGGCGTAAAACCATACTCACTCACTCACTCTTCACTGAGTATGCAATAGATACTGCTATAAGGGAACGTTCATAATTTATGGGTGGGGGTGGGGTGGAATGTGTGTGATGATGATGATTTTGTTGGGGAGGGTGGGGTGGGTGGGTGTGCACCCATCTTGTTCTGGGGAGGTAGGGGTCATCAAGTTGGTACAAGGCATAAAATTGTACTAACTAAAACTAAAATCACTCATTCTGACTTTTTATGTAACATTTATTCATGATACCATTTCCGTCACATCAGTATATGACTAGTCCAAACTGCTTTTGTAAATTTCCAACAAAAATATTTTATGTCTCTATAAAAACCCGGAAGCACAATTAGACCCCTTCCCCTAAAAGAAATGACCAGTCTGTAAGTCAATTGCAAGTAGGTTTAGTGTCCCTGTTACGAACACTCATTGAATGAATATTATCGGAAGCTGTTTTCCCAACTATCCTTGTATCACTAATGGTTGTTGCCGTGATGTGTGGGTTGAGAGCCTAATGACATGGGGACCTGTCGGTTTTGAGCAATTAAACTGGCGTTCAAAAGAAGGTACACAGGCAAAGATTTGGTCAAATAGCACAAAATCAACATTTTTTTTTAAAGATAATTTCATGTGTTTATTGAGGCACATGGTCAAACAGAACTCCTCACAATAAAATGAAACTTTAAGCGTGAACATTATTGCCTTATGGTACTGTCAAACATGCACGGGTCCAAATGACACATTTCATTATTGCAGATGAAAAGTTCAGTGTTGATTACCAGACACCCAAATGTCACAAAAACAGGTATCACATTCAGTATCTTGTATGGCCTCCACGGGCATCAATGCAAGCCTGTACTCGTCTCCTCGTGGAAAACGTAAGTCGCCTGATGACGTCATTTGGAATTCTTGCCCATTCCTCACGGAGAGCATTTTCAAGCTGTCGTACATTAACGGGCTGCTGTTGCCGAAGTCGGAATTGTCTTCCGAGATGGTCCCATAGATGTTCAATCGGGTTGAGGTCAGGTGAACGAGCGGGCCATGGCAATACATCAATATTATGGTGTTGGAGAAAGTCTGTGGTGATCCTGGCTGCGTGGGGTATGGCGTTATCATGCAGGAAAATAATTCCATGATGTTGTCGCATGAAAGGCAGTACAACAGGTCGCAACACTTCATCACAGTATCGCTGGGCATTCAGATTGCCATGAATTGTCACTAAACGTGTCTTCTGATCACCACAAACTGCTCCCCATACCATAACACCGCCGCCACCAAAGGGGTGAACATCTTGTATACAGTTTGGTGCCAACCGTTCTCCCCGACGCCGATATACCCTTATTCTACCGTCAGCATGAAACAGTTTGAATCTGCTCTCATCACTGAAGAGAACACGTACCCAGTTACGACGTTGCCACCGATGCACAGTCCTTGTCCACTGTAAACGGTTCCTACGATGTAGAGGTGTCAAGGACATGCCACGGAAAGGTCGACAGGCCGGGATACCAGCAGCACGGAGTCGCCTCATCACTGTGTACCTGCTGATGTGGTGACCTAATGCTGTCGCTGCTGATGACGTTGCAGTCAACATTCGATTGCGTAAGTGGATTATCCGCAGGTGCTGGTCATCTTGTGGTGTAGTGACTCTCGGACGTCCAGTTCGGGGTCGGTCAGCTGTCTGGCCTGTCTGCTGAACACGTCTGAACAGTCTGATTATGGTTTGTCTTGTGCACTGGAAGGTCCTTGCAATATGACTGTTGGACGCCCCCATCTGTGACATACCAATGGCTCTCTCTCTTTGCGCCGGTGTTAGTCTTGGCATTTTCTTCGTGTTTATTGTCGTCTGCCATATCAGCATTGGGATGAGTGTCTTTTATACCCGTTTACAAGTTGATTGCATGTGCAAGAGGGAATGATCACAATTTCCACAAATCTCGTGTTGCACGTGCAGCCACACATATGGCTGCATTTTGAACATTTTACCCTTATAGTTGCCTTTGTGAGATCTATTTTCAGTGCAAATCTTGATGAATTGAAACGAGCTTCATGTACGGTGAACAAAAGTTTAGGTGTGTACTTTCTTTTGAACGTCAGTTTATGTTAATGTCATAATTAAGAGATTATTCCAGATCCTGAACTTCCTTCCTTTTTATGCTATGCAGTGGTCATATTTTAAAGTTAATTCAGAGACTAATCCGCCTATATCACATGTTAAGATCAGTGCCAAAACCTTAAAGCCAATACGACATGCGCGTGACATGTAAAAAGATTACACATTGCCAGAAGCTATTGATGCTCACAGAAGGAATTGATCACCTATGTTCTTTCAGAGATAGGCTTTGGCATCAGTCTTCAAAGAGTCTTAACGTTAAGGAGGCAAAGGATCTCTTTTGTCTGTAGCTGACATCTAATTACGAGAATGTTGCAGGTGTTTCAGCTGTAGGTCTCGATCACATCATGATCTTTATCTAGACGGTTAATTGAGTCAATGATTGAGAATGGTTTCCGTCTCGTTTGGCAATATTGTAGAGAAGAAACGTGCACACCTTCAAGTGGGTAATTGCATCCGGTCTCCGTCATGACAAACATTCATGTTGACATGAGTGAGTGAGTGAGTTTGGGTTTACGCCACTTTTAGAAATACTCCAGTAATATCACCGCGGGGGACACCGAAATGAGCTTTACACACAGTACCCACGTGGGGAATCGAACTCGGGCGTTCACCTGATGAGCGACCTAACTGCAAGGCTTTCCCACCGACCCGGTCTAGCGATGACAAAATTGCCACCATCTGTTAAATAACACGTGGATGTGTGTTTCCTTTTTGGGAGTCGATCTCCGGCCTTTGGGGTGATGTCGGAACACTTTGTCGGCTACCTTACTGCCACTAATTTGGTCAAGATGGCATATCCGGCGCTCATTGTTTCCAGTCATTATTGTAAATACCTTGAAGCGCACAGTAAAACCCATTTCTGTAACACATGTCATCATAGTATTTTTTATTTGCTTTTCCTTGTCATATTTAAAACGATGTATGCATGGCCTTGTAAAACCTGACTTGGTATTTCTCTCCGCAATCACAATCCATTAGCTTATTGACACTTCTCCAGTCCAAGGGCAGATTTTATCAGCTCTATTTGACAGTGTTTGTCAATGTTGTAGGTGGTGTCTCTCGAGACAAGTGACTTTAGCCTCTGTTCACCCAGCTGTCAATGGATACCGGAAAGTGGAGATGGCAATCTGATTTCTAAGTATACCTTCTAGCGCCTCATGGGCACATTTGGTTGTATTCATTGTTGTATGCACACTGATCCATTGATCAATCAATATTTATATAGCGCTTTGATCAAACAAGGTCGTGTTGAATCATGGGTATTATCAATATACATATATATAATGTATAATGTTTGTACAAGAATACTAGTAAGTGAGTATGGTTTTACGCCGCTTTTAGCATTATTCCAGCAATATCACGGCTGGGAACAACAGAAATGGGCTTCACACATTCACCCATGTGAGGAATCGAACCCGGGTTTTCGGCGTATCGAGCGAACACTTAAACCACTAGGCTACCCCACCTCAACATACAGGAATACTACAGCATTGATCAGTGTAATACAGAAACAGAAAGTATTACCTGTGACTCTGTATGGCCGTACTGGCGCCTTGCACGTGGTGATGTCCTTTATCGGTCTGCCTGCGTCATCCAGACACTGACACATTTCCGGTTCAGTGCTGCCCTCTGGGCTGAAGGCGTGCTCCTGACAGGGTAGGCATGCGTGGAGCCCGTACTGGGACTTGTACGTGTTTTCAGGGCACTCTGGGAATAAGGGTTTTCGTCATTATATTGTATGAAATATGTGTTCGGGCAGACTGAGAAAGTACATACGCCATTGAAAGTGAATGCCCTGTCATGGTAATAGGCTTAAACCATAGGGTATACAAGGCAAAAATAGGGTTGACATCTGGTGTTTGCGTTATACTGTAAGTTCAAATTCGTATCCAGACAACAAGACACCCGGTACTCTGAATCACAGAAAAGTGAGTGAGTTTAGTTTTACGCCGCTTTTAGCAATATTCAAAGGCGGGGGATACCAAAAATGGGCTCCACACGTTGTACCCATGTGGGGAATCGAAACCGGGTTTTCAGCGTGACGGGCGGACGCTTTAACCATTAGACTACCCCACCACCCCGAATCACATAAGAAAATAACATTATCGAAATTGTGTTGATTCAGGGATGCAGGTAAATCTGATTAATACTAAAATTATGGTATTTTGAAAAGTGATTAGATGTGTCTTCGGGATCGTTTAAATAGAAACAACATAAATAATGTCCATTATCATTTGAAATCTCTACTAAACACAGTGCCTTTTGTACGGTTCCGACCGTTTCATGGCCACATGTTAATGAATAATGAGGCGTTAAAGTATCCTGCACCACTTGTTTTGAATTCAGTTAGGCCTTGAACGTTGGACAGTTAAATGACGCACGCCAAAAAAGCCTATTCTGTGTATCGTTACTTTCTTCTGTATATGTCATATGTGTCTCTTGGACAAAGATGATTTGGCTGCTATGGCACTCACTTTAAACATCGGGATAGAATTTGACGATTACATTGAAAGAAACATTACAATATAATTAGATGATCAATGCAGGGAACTGCAAAACAAACTCCAGACAAAGTCAAGCTTATAGGAGGAGTGGGTTAGTCTAGTGGTTAAAACGTTCGCTCGTCACGCCGAAGACCCGGGTTCCAATCATCACATGGGTACAATATGTGAAGCTAATTTTCTGGTATCCTCCACCATGATATTGCTGGAATGTAATGGGCGGCGTAAAACCCAATTCGCTCACTCACTGTATTGTTACCAACAATAATAAGGTTATACACCTGGACCCGGTTGTATCAAACTTTAATGAAGCATTAACGTGCCATTAAACGTTCATTAACTAATGTATCATTAAATTCTGTTGTACTAACGTTTTAATGATGCTCTGTTGTCATTAGTGCGTCATTAACTTAATGAAGGTCCTGGGGTATCATTAGAGCGTCATTAAACTTCCTGGAAAAGTGAACATTGCGCCAGAATTTCGTTTGCGCCGCACTGGATCTACCTACAGCTATAAAATTACACAGAAATGTAGAGTATTGAATGTCCTATCTCATGGTATAAACTCAGTTTGAAACGTAGACACTGCTGAATGTTACTCCTAATTTTGTTATGCGTTAAAAACAGTAAATTTCTCTGCTTTTTATCGTGCACTGATAAAAGTACTGTGCTACTATAGTTTTAATTTGGCATCTTTACGGAAAGTGTGAGTGAACAAAATTCTGCCTGATACCTGAATGACATAGGTATGTATTAAATTAGTTTGTGTGCTTATGTAAAACGTTATACACTCAATCTTAAAAGTGACTCGCAATATGTGTTGAAAATGGATTTCCCCCTATGACGTCAAATGGCTACATAAAGGTCACACGCTTATAAAGATAAGGGGGCCTCACTCAGGTATGCTTATAAGTCATTGTAACTACTGGCGAGAATTTGCTTCATAGTAAGTCATTGTAGCATTTTTATTTATTATGTCAGTTTTACTTAGGTTTAAAATACTAAATGATGATAATGAAATTAGTTTCATGAAACCATATGTGAACGATACACAAAGTATTCATTAATAATACAAGTGTAATCCGCAGGACAGTGTGATTGTGTTTACTCTTATTCAACCGACCTTCACCTCAAAGAAATTGCCACATATGTCCAACAATGTTGATGTATGACATCACTACCGATGACCGATTTCTCATGAAATGGCGGCTTCGTGGATATGGGTGCCCATGATTTTGCGAGGGAACCTTTGTCCATAAATGTATGATGTAAGTAATCGGAAACATTCTGACTATCTGCGTATGGTTGTTTGTTTTTATTGTTTTCATTGAAAAAGTCAGAAATGCCGATAATTGCCTATGTCGTTCTCCATGATTTTGCGTCTCGCATGGCGTCACGCTTCACAGAACTTTCGTATGAATATGTATATCAAATTTCAGTATTGTATCTGTTTTAAGTTTTCTAGTTCTTGCTACGATACTCTTTCCGTGCATATACTAAAAATATTGAGCTCATGCATGCTACGAATAGACGAACTGATGTCTAAAAAAATTTAGAAAATGCTGCACAGTATAAAATCTGATTTTTGCTTTGTTTATATTTCTAGCAAGCGCTGTGTAATGAGCACAACGTCCCGTTTTCACACCCAATATGTTTCGTTTTTTCTTAGACACTTGGTTATAGTGACAAAGACCATTTGGAATTTGATTCTAAAATGTATGAGGAATTCAGCGATGCATTTGTCACAACTGAATATGAAATATACATGATTTAATAGGCGTCCTATGACTGGCCTTAGCGAAACTTGATTTTGTAAACACTATCCAATATGACGGAAAGCTCACTTCGGCGTTCGTGTTCGTGTATATTCCAAAACATCCCAACTGATTCTAGGTTTATCGGCGACGTTTCAGAATTATTTAGCTGTGTTTCTTCACAGCAGTCGAAATGTTTGTTTTTGTTCCGAGGGGTTTAGCCCTATTACATGTTAACAGCGTGGAATTGTGGGAAGAAATTTGGGGAATCCCCGGATTTAATGAAAATATTTACATTAGGACGTCATTAGATAATGATACGCTAATAAGTGTTTGATAAAACCGTTTTTAATGATGCCATTGACTAATGATGCATTAAGGATTTAATGTATGATTAGGGTTTAATGTTGACATTAGTTAATGAAGGAATGATACAACCGGATCCAGGCTATCAACCATCATTATACTTTAATGCAGAAATCCGACCAGCTTCATTTTGTCAAGACCTTGATGTTCCACATAATTTTGTATAGCGCCTTGTTTCCACCATGCGGTGCTCTACGGCGTTGTGAGAAAGAGTCTTAAGAGGAGAAAACACACGGAGTTCGAAATAATTACAGTGTAGTAGTGTACACAGATGATTAGAGTAGCTTTGAGAATGCAATTTTGAAAAGATGAGTTTTTAATGCTGTTTTGAATGCGGACTCTGATGACTGTGATCTCAAATGAACCAGTAAGGTAATATCACTGTGGTAGAAGAATTCCTTTTAAATATAGACATATTTTCATAACAAACAAAAACATTTGGGAGAAGACTGAAAACTATAGATTTTATGGCCAACAATTACGACGACAACAATATGGCCGTATGGCCATCTTGGATGAGATATATACCAGTATTCCATAGGACTGAAAAATAATTGCTTTGTCTTTGAAAACCAAGTATCTATGACTGTAATTAGTTACTTGAAACAGAATTCCGAATTTATATGACTGTTTACTGTTGAAATGTATACCTCATATGACCTGCCTACGTCTTTAATGAAAGAAAGCTGAATTTCAAATTATTAGGGGATATTTTAAGAAACCAAAGTACCGCACATACTGAAAGACTGTATATATTACGGTCTTAAGATGTCTTTTGTCCAGAATCAATTCCAACGCGGCTATTGAAGTGTAAATATTTGGGCATTGTCTCTCAATCTTTTGATACTGGTATAAGTCTTGGAAAGATGTAATTGGTAATATCGATTAACTGATGAAGCAATAACTCGCAAAAATTAATCCACTCAGATCTTAGCCTCATCCCGCTCCCCCGTGACTGGTCAGGTTTACATAATTCCACGAGCTGCATACGAGTGGTCATATTGCATAATTGGACTGTTTTAGTTACAGTTACCGATCGATCTCCTCGCATACAAGATGCCGGCCGATTGGGGAATAATAATAATAAGGCCACTTATATAGCGCTTAAGTATCCGTGAAGGTCCGGGTTAGAATGAACCTTCAGTAACCCACGCTTGTCGTAAGAGGCGACTAACGGGATCGGGTGGTCAGGCTCGCTGGCTTGGTTGACACATGCTGTTGATCACTGGATTGTCTGGTCCAGACTCGATTATTTACAGACCGCCGCCATATAGCTGGAATATTGCTGAGTGCGGCGTAAAACGGAACTCACTCACTCACTATAGCGCTTAACTTCACGCAATACCATTCTGCATTGCATCCATGCATTAGGTATAAGGTGGATGTATATTCACGATGGTCATGTAATGACAGTTATGTGAACGACTGAAACTAGCGAGTCCCGATCCAATATGGCGTCTCCCTAAATGACTTTTGGCGGATTTGTGTGGACCTAGTAGTGTAGGCTGCTATTAAGTTTGTTGGTTCCAACATACCTCGACATCTGCCCCGACGCATTGTCCAGCCTGGTGAACAGACACACGTGTCTGACCCGGTAGTAATAGTACTTGACCTCTCGTCACATGACACACATGGGCTGGAACCAGAGCTAGCTTTGTAGAACCCCAGTGGACATGCTGCAAGATGGAAGACACGTAACGGGTGTTTATAGGTTCTCAAAAATATTAGTGAAATGGTGAAATGATCAAGTTAATTCGGCTTGACGTGCATGTGTGTGTGTGTGTGTGTGTGTGTGTGTGTGTGTGTGTGTGTGTGTGTGTGTGTGTGCTTTGTTGTACTTGTCACGGCTGCCGTTATATGTGATATAAGTGTCATAAAGAGAAGGTATTTGTCATGCAAACGTTGACAGACATAGCATCTATGCCTACAAACGTTTTTGCGATTGACGCTATGATTGATATTTGTTTGGTCGTTGTTTCACACCGCTCTCAGCAATATTCCGGTTTTTTGGTGGCGGTCTATACATAATCTGGACAATACTATGACTGGCATGAGCATTGATCTGCGCAACTGGGATACGATGACATGTGTCAACCAAGTCAGCTAGCCCGACCACCTGATCCCGTTAGTAGCCTCTTACGAGAAGCATGGCTTAGTGAAGACCAATTCAAACCCGGATGTTCACGGGTCTTTGTGTCAGAGGTACTGTGATTGATATGAAGACTATGGAATCTGAGAAGAGAATTGTCGCTATGTCGCATTGTCGCCCTCTCAAAAACAAGTAAAGTGAGTCAAAATACACCAAAACGCGACACGCGACATCGCGACAACGCGACATTTCGCCCATTTGTCGCATTGTCGCGATGTCGCGTGTCGCGTTTTGTTTAATTTTGCTTCATTTTGCTTGTATTTGAGAGGGTGACAACGCAACAATGCGACAACGCGACAATGTCCCTTCCAGGATTCCATAGAAGACTATGTACGACTACACATGTTTGAGTGATTGACGTCACTGACATGTAAAGTAAGTATAAACTACTGGATATGGTTGCCACTACGAGTAACATATTCAGTGCGTTTTGGTTTGGTTTGCTTGTTGTTTAACACCACACCAAGCAATATTCCAGCTCTATGGCGGTGATCTGTAAATAATCGAATCTGGACCAGACAATCCAGTGATCACCATCATGAGCATCTATCTACAGAACTGGGATACAATGACATGTGTCAACCAAGTCAGCGAGCCTGACCACCCGATCCCGTTAGTCGCCTCTTATGGCACTCATGGGTCACTGAAGATCAATTCTTACCCGGATCTTCACGAGTCTATTCAGGGCGTACCTTCAGTAGGTATATTGTTTAATATGATGTACGTACGACTACAGACGTCGGTGTGGTTTTGTGTGTATCCAGGAAGGCAAGCACAGGAATTTCCTTTGTCCACTCTGCTGAATGCTGGACACAGTGGACACGCATCCCCTCCTGCCCAGGCGGTCACGTGGCATGCCACGTGTAGGGAGACTGCAAGATAAATATGGCCAGGTTAGAGTTACAAGTTTCTAGGGGACTCAAACGGTTGGGCGATGCATATACATGTATATGCATCAGGAATTGGAGCTTTTAGTCTGGCAGACTAACAAAAACCAGTTCCCCAAAGTTTTCAATTTGCTTTTGTTTTGTTTGTTTATCACCACACTCAGCTATATTCCAGCTATTTGGCGGCGGTCTGTAAATAATTGAGTCAGACAATCCTGTGATCAACAGCATGAGCATAGACCGACGCAATTAGGAACCGATGACATGTGCCAACCATGTCTGCGGGCCTGACCACTCGATTCTGTCAGTCGCCTCTTACGACAAGCATGGGTTGCTGAAGATCAATTCTAGCCGTGATCTTCACTGGAGACATAATTAGAAGTATCAAAGAACGGCGTTTTCTGTTCCAGGGGGATTGCAGAATCGTTGTACCTGAGCGCATGATTAACATTGTCTGTGTGAATGGCAGGCGCTACCAGTCTGGCAGAACATGCTTAACCCTTTCGACAACACCTGTTGTTATCACTACCTTTCAGTGATACATTAATATAATAATGACAACTAGTGTGTGTGTGTGTGTGTGTGTGTGTGTGTGTGTGTGTGTGTGTGTGTGTGTGTGTGTGTGTGTGTGTGTGTGTGTGTGTGTGTGTGTGCTTTGTTGTACTTGTCACGACTGCCGTTATACGTGATATAATTGTCATAACGAGAATGTATTTGTCACGCAAACGTTGACAGACACAGCAACTCAATGGAAAATTTGGTTCGCTGCACTATCGTGAAGGCGAAAAGTGAAAGTAATAAGTTAAAATGACATCCCGTCGTTCTGTAAAACAATATAAATACAGATATTATTTATTCGGTTCTTCATGGAGACCAGATAGCAACATGAACTGTCCTAACCACCGTGGTATTCTGATGGACGAACTGACATGACAACATGAGGACGTTCCACCACTGACTGATCCACCGTGAAGGTTTGATCCCACATGTCAATGACAGGGAAAAGGAATTAATTCACCACATCTTCGCACCAGTATAATTGACATGTTTTGTTCTTTGATGCATCCTTGTCATGATGGCCTCAGCTCGCCTGTCGCAGAGTTAATTCCCAACTGAGCTCGAAAAAATATGTGAATGCGAATGTGTGGTGCGTGTTGCAGAATGTCAGATATAAGACTTTTATAGTTTGAGAGAAAATTGAATTTATTCCTATCATTATCAGACTCAATACCCACACAATAGATAATTGTAATTGAAAAAGTCACCAAAATCCTAAAAAACGTGACAGAGAAATTTCTGATTGTATATCACTGAAATTATTCTCTATGAAAATGAGACAAGCAGCATTTTTGTTGATTGAAATTGTACTGACGACACATTTATTTTTAAGTGAAAATATATTGGGTACAGGATAAAACAGTTCATGTTACTTTAAAGTTAATGTAAAGGTACGTCAAGATGTGATTTCACAATATGCATCTAACAACAACATTTATTTAGTGTGAATTACATTTTCTATTGAAAAATTGGACTTAATGGTAGATGTTGATGTAATAGACAGTAAGTTCGTGTGGAAATGATGTGACGTTGGTGTTCGAAGGCTGTCTTTGCAAAATACAGTCCAACACCTTTCTGTCGAACACGTAAGTATATATTTACGCCACTTTTAGCAATATCATTTCAGTATCAAGGAACACCAGAAATGTACTTCACGCATTGTACCCATGTGGGGAATCGACACCAGAACTTCGGCTTTAACTTCCGCTTTAACCTTTAGGCTACCCTCTGTCCCCGTTGTGTCGAAGTTGGGGTCCTACATAAATACTTCGGTTTATCCGAGGTTCGCACAACCACATAATCGTAATTTAATAAGGAATGCGCAGGAACCTAGCTTTTACTTCTCGAGACAACCGTGAGTTCGGTACAACAGTGATACTGGTCGATCAAGCCACCATTCACAAGATTAAGGCCAAACTAATACTCTGAACACGGTCTCCCGATATTCGTCCCATTGTGAGTAATGGCCATTGACATGTCATACATATTCATCGGAAAACGACATCACACATGACATCTAGCCATTGACATTGAGGGCGGACATGAATGAGTCCCGCTTCTCTCGACTATCGATGAAAGTCGTAATTGTCTGTCCCATCACAAAGACGTATGTCATTCCTCAATATCTGTTCTATTAGCGCCGTCTTTGAATGCCGCCTTCGAATTGAGCGACGTCTCTAATATAGGTGATGTACTTATATTGCCTTGTTTGTCATCTCAATCTAAAAGTGGTTCATAATAACATCACTCTGATAACGGAATCATACAATGGACTCGTATTTCAGAATGAATTCCTTTTTTGATTATAAAATGTTTTTGTTGCTTTTTATTTACATATGTATGTAAGTCTTTAACGAATTGGTACTTGCCTAATAAGTTTCTTGTAATTGTATTTGACAGTTAGCTCTTTAAGTTAGTTGATGTTGAAATAACTTAAAGTAAAACCTCAGTTATTCGAACAATTCGAATTCCAGGAACGCCATGCGGTTTAGTACCCTGTAAACTAGACAGTGTTCCTGAGTGATGTCGAATGTGGAGCAAGTTTAGCATACGCTTATGTAACCTCCTGTTTTGAAGAACTATTTTATTCGCCGATACTGTTGGTTGTTGTATGGCTGTCGGTGTAACGTCACACGTACTGCATGGAATAGTTTAATACATTCCTCAAGGGGTAGCATAGGGGTTTAAAAAAACTTATAAGATATGACTTAAACTTTATGCCAGTTCATTTGAGTAGACGTCGGAACACTCTAATGAACACACATAAAGTCAAAGTCTTAGTTAGTTAATATGGTCGTACGCCGCCTTAAGCAAATATTTCAGCAATATCACGGCGGGGGGACACCAGAAATGGTCCTCACACATTGTACCCATGTCGGGAATCGAACCCGGGTCTTAAGCGTGACGAAGCAACGCTTTAACCACCAGGCTACCCCACCGCCGCTGAAAGTCTTAAATAGCCGTGAAAGTTCCTTCAATATTACAGGGTATCAAAATAAAAAAATGTAAAACGTCCGTGTAAAAGAATACCTAATCTTGACTATTCTAGAGAAACAGATTCCATTAGGTTGACAGGTCTAAATAGCTGTGAAAATCACACAAATGGACCTTGAAAGTCAGTATTGACAGCAGATGTTTCGAAAGAGGTAAACATGCCATGCTCTTCCGGTAGAACGCGTTTTGCCAAACATGCAAGTATTTACAGCCCGGGGCCACAAAAATGCATTAATTTTAAAAATATTTTATTTTAAAGACGGTAATACTTTTTCCCCGGTAAAGAGATTTTTGCTAATTACGGGGATTTCGGAAAAGCAGTGTTTACTATAAGTAGCATTACGCGTACAAATGATATCAGCATCCCTGGTTCCTTCAGAAATTCCCCATCACGTGCCGCCGAAACATAACGCTTACAGAGTTGACGAACTAATCACCCTGGGTGTCGCTAATTCCCTTGCGCTATTTCAAGCAGCGTAGTAACAGCTTCAGTCACGGAAGGAAATTGATTACATCTATATAACAAATGATATCATCTCCCCATATTCACCTGCTTAAACCATAGCGGTAAAACTCCTGCAGATTACGCACGTTGCTAAGGGTAGTAAAGGCTATTTTCCTTTTGATGAAATTTGTAATCAGGCAAATGGAAATCTTGTGCGAATAGAAATTGCTTTAGGGACCGTTCATAATTTATGGCTAGAGGGGGTAACAATGTAAATTACCCTAAACGCCCCCAATTTATGTAGAAGGTAAGTGACCCCTGTCCCCATCCTATGTCTAGTACAAAACAATAACCACCCCCTGGTACATGCTTACAAAATTGATGCCTGCCTATCTTCCCAGAACAAAATCATCACCCCCCACAATTATGAATGGTCCCTTAGCTGTTGTTAAACAAACCAAGAAGACTGTTTTGTGCCCCTCATAAACTACCGTGAATAAATAATCTCTAATAAAGAGATTATATACCCATGTTTCATCGTTGTTGCAAGTGAAACATACACGCAATGTTTTTTCGATAATGATGTATTTTAAACGAATTTTATAGTTTCTGTAACATATGAGCATTTTAGAAGTTGGTACGATGAAGAGGAACAAGGTACGTGCCTACGTGGACTGACACATATCTTGTATTATAGCTGTGTTTACATCGTGATGTAGTGTTCTTCATCCCTGAAATGTTTTGATAATGTTTGTCATTTTGGTCAGATTCAACTTTTAAGTGTATAGTCTCTTTTGTGCTTTAGTAAATGTGTCCAAAGTAGAAATAGAAACACATCTATATATAGTTTTAGTGTCAAAGCGGAAAATTGATGCGTTGGAGCTCAGTCTTAATGATATCAACAGGCAAAGATCCCAGCTCCTAACATTTTTCTGTAAATAATGAAGTCATCATGGACCGAGATCAAGTCGTTACCGTTATTTAATGGACACCGCATATCCCGTGGATGAATGTCTCGTATGGCAATGTGAGCTGGCCACTCGCAGACCGGGCTTGAATAACTGGAGGACTTGTTAACATACCAGTTCCTCAGCCAGGTCAACCTACAGTCACACTGCCAGGGGTTGTCGAGGAGGTTTCTGGAAACAGAAAATAACGATCCTGCTTGATCCGAAACTCATTTTAACTCAGTGTCTAAAACTCCCAAAATTCCAAGCTAGACAGCCGGACTGGTAACTTAAAAAAAGTCACCAGTCCGGATACAAACTTGCCTGTCCGGTTTTCAACAATTAAAAAACTGCGACTGCCATTTCCAGCTCGCGCAAGCTCCAATCACAATGAACTACATAGCACTAACAGGCAATGAACCGAGTTTAGGTAAACTGAAACTGGTTATTGTAACATGAACTGTCCAATCTTATGTACTTTAATAGTTCAAACTGATGACAAGAGAAACTGTCTGATATTATTGACCACTGGATAGGCTACTTTTAAAATTTGACCGTCCGAGACGAAAATAAACCGTTCCGGACGGTCGGGCTGGCGGGAATTTTAAACGGTGATTAACTCATCCTGATGAAGGCTATGTCCAAAGCCTTGTTGTGAATAACTATTGACTTGAAAAGCCGGTTTCGGTGATGAAAGAAGAAACCTGTCTCATTGTGGCCGATGTCAACGTTACACCAGGAAGTGGGTGAGCGAGTTTAGTTTTACGCCGCTTTTAGTAATATTACAGCAATATCACGGCGGGGGACACCAGGAACGGGCTTCACACAATGTACCTATGTAGAAAATCGAACCCAAGTCTTCGGCGTGACGAGTGAAGGCTTTAACCACTTGGCTACCCCACCGCCCTACATCAGGATGTATCCAGGTGTACCTTCCAGTCGGGAACAGTGTGGGACTTTTCTCCATCTAAATATTGGCTAAGACACAATATATGTTTGTGTGTAGGTTTGACAACCAGGCGAGGCAAACTTATGCTACAGTTCAGTATCAAGGTCTCTGGATTCTCTCTTCGACTGAGATAAGCATTCAGACCAGCGTATCATATTCCGGATTTCGAAAACGAAATTAACCAGTCAGTTCTGATTATCAATAATAAAGGCCGTGTGATTATCAATGTTGATATTTTGAATACAGTGTCGTTTTATAGCTTCAAGGCATGAACATCAGCAAGTGAGCAGCATTTATGGTATATTTTTGTTGTGACTGGGATTTCGTTTGTAAATATCGATTTTCTGAATTGAGATAAAAAATACACCCGATGTAGAAAGTTGACCTCTGATTCATTTGACGTGAGGGTTCGAGTGATATCGTATCAGAGAAAAAGTATTATATATTTTAATAGGATTGTAGTGAAATATAAATCTATCTGACCGGACTGATCGATAGCTATAATCTAGACCTATCAATCATCAACATGTCACGGTAGTCTACAAACAAACAACAAGTGAACATGCAAACCGGTGACTGAAACAATGAGCACTGAAACAGTGCCGGGCCATCAAATACCAGCATAGCCTTCCTTACAGGTTATGTGTACCTTTGACTCAAAGATGACTGGATGGTAACGACACGAAAAATCATTAACAATCATGTTTGACACTCACTGACCTGTGTCTTTAATGATCCTGTGAGACATGGTACCTTGATTGCGTGGATTGCTGTTCATGCTATCAAACACTGGCTTGTACGATTCTAGCTGTAAACGCTACCCCCTAACTCTCCCCTAAACCCCTTCATTTAATTGAACTTACACTTTGTCCAGGTAGTGGAATGTCATCTGAAGTTGATGGGGGAGAGTCTTGAGCTTGTTCCCTTCTATATAACTGCAATGAAAGTGCAGTATATAGTATGATATATATGATATAGTAAAGTGTTATATCATGATATAGGGTTCGATATACAGGGAACTGCTTATCCCCTATCATATCATACAGTAAAATATAACACAAAGCATACAAAGATTGCATTGTTATAATGTATATTCTAACCGATAAGGATCTTGAACAATTGACTTGCTTTGCATGTGTTTGTGATGGTGCCATCGATGGGGCAAAATACGTTCATGTTTTCGTAAAAAAACATGGTGCCATCACTCTTGGATGGTGATTTATGAACACGTCTGAATCGTACAATGGACACTGCTTTTAACAGACATGTCTTGTACTCATGGACATGTTGTTTTTGTGCCGTCACTTTTAAAAATATCATGACCTGCCATTTAGCAAAATGGCCAGAGATAGACGTCTCACAGTCCCCGAACCACACTATTCTCCCTGCATTCTAGCCCTTCCTGCAATGCTAAAGCCCTAAATGAAGCAAAACTAGATCTAGATTTCTGAATCTCCCATCTCACTGGGGCTCCTTTTCTATTTAAATGGGATTATTTGTTACTGTCAAAATTATATATATTCAGGAACTAAGCATTTGTCTAAAGGCGACTGGGGCGGGGTAAATGTCAAGGACATAATAATAGTACGGATATACACACTGGAAAAACGAATCCAGGTAACAAATCTTACTTTGGGGTAAATTTTAAAAAATGTCTTTGCTCGACTTCATACTATACTCCCCATCAAAAGTTTAGACTCACTAGTGTAAATGTAGCCACTTACTTAAGTCAACTCTTCTAAACTAGATTTTGCAAAATTTTCCATACTAAAGGTACTGTTTACACATGAACTGATGTATTGTAAAACAAAATCGTAACGTTGAAAAGGTTATTGTCATGGGTTAAAAAAATGATAAAACTGAGTGAAAATTGGCGAATTTTTAACAACATTTTACACAACAACACAGCTGTTCACATGCACGATATTTAACGCATGATCTTCGTGAAATTCATCTGCATAAAGTTCGCAGTTGGTTCCCCAAAGTTAATGGAGAAATTCATCTTCGTGTAACCACACATATATGCATTACATATAGTGAGTGCTTTAAGTGAGTCTAAACTTTTGATGGGTAGTATATTAAACCAGCTAGGTAGAGTATATATATGAATATGCTTCCAGTTGTTAAACAATAATCAGTGAAGTAGATAGTTTGACTTACATTTCTCTGAGTTTCTCCAGACCACCTAACGCTGATGGATGAATTTTTGATATGTTGTTGTGAGATAAATAGCTGTAAGCAAAAATACACGCTGGTAAGGACAAAGTTAGTTATCGAATGTACGCTTTGAACTTTCCTTTTTTCAAATGAACCTGAGTAGGTCACACACCGAGATACCACGTTTCATGTTTCAGTTATAAGAAATACATAACACTTTGACATTCAGCGTTGTTACAATCTTGATTAAAATACATATGCATGCCTAAGGAATTCGGAATCAATGTGACCGCCTCCGTGACGTAGTGGACGGAGCGTTTGCTGGGAGAGTGGAAGGTGGGTGGTTCGATTCCCAGCCCGAGTCATACAAAAGGTAGTAACATATGGTACTTGTTGTCGCCCTGCCTGAAGCCTGGCGTTCAGGGATAACCAAAGACCGTTCACCCGGAGTCAGTATAATATGTCTTAGTGGGGTATAATGTTATAGTGTGTCATGGTATCTCAGAGGGTTAGCTCTATTAAACCAAGAAATAATCTTGACTAGAACAAGCAGACGCACACACACACGCACGCACGTACACACGCTACGTCAGTGTAACCATCACAACGTAAATCACACTTCACCTAAAAAAGAATCGTTCTTCAGTTTCGTTTAAATGAAGAATACAAGTAAAGTATACAACAACTATTGATATGCTTACAGATAGGCAAGATTTCGGAGGCTGGCGGTGGTGGCATGCAACTCCCGGATGCCATTGTATCGAGCGTATCTGTGGAAGAAACAGACAGGTAACAGCAATCAAACACACCATCGAAAATCATTACAAGTACATTTGTAGTATGCAACAACATTATAACTCTCTGCGTAACATTAGTAAGTAGTAGAAATGATGATCTTAAATATCTTCAAGAACGCATCATTGTTATAATTTGGCACCATTGAGTGAGTATGGTGTCACGCCGTTTTACCAATATTCCAGCAATATCACGCCGCTTTAGCAATATTCCAGCAATATCACGGTGTTTTAGCAATATTCCAGCAATATCACGGCGTTTTAGCAACATTCCAGCAATATCACGGCGTTTTAGCAACATTCCAGCAATAACGTTGAAACAGACTATAATCCCCGTATGGTGAGAGTGTTAGTAAACTTCGGATGGATGACATGGTCATATCGCCATGACCCAAAAACAGCATTATCCAATTTGTATTGATGCAGTGAAAAGCCCAAGATGACAACATTTCTCAAACACTCAGCTCGACTTATCCATGATGTTAAAAACGAGTTGACATCCTACTTACAGGCCTCTGAGTTTAGGAATCTTGCTAAGTGCCATCACTGGAAGTGCCTGGAAAGCATTCTGCTCCAAATCCCTGGAAAAAAAATCCGTAAAGATTGATGGACTGACTGATCGAGTTGGACGGTCGGTTAATGTCAGTGTGTCAGACGTCCGTCTCTTTATGTATTTAAGCAACACCAGTTGTCCATTTACATGAATCTGGGTATGTTTTGTGAGTGAACACGCAGTAATCTTCACGTCAGACGTTCGTTTACCATCGACATTAGCTGTTGGGTATTTTTTTAAAGAGTCTCTTGCGGGTTTGATGTTTCACGCCAGTTTCAGTAACGTAAGCTTTGTGTTTACACTGAACGTGAACGTGAATGTATAAATAAATTATGTGTCAGTGTTATTCAACAGTGTTGTAATTGTACTTCATAATAGGTCTGTTTGTGTTAAGATTCGGTAAAGGGCAATGGCGTGCTTGTGATTACGTTAGACTGGGAGTCAAGACTCGCCTTGAAACTTCTGGAACAGAAGGAATAATCCAATATAGTCAGGCCCAGAAAGGTGCAATATGTTCCAAGGCAGATTCATAGTATATGTAGAGGGCCATCGAATGCGTCTCTCATTTCACGGTACATCAACACCAGCAACCGCCTAAAGATCACTCTTAACCATGGATTCCAGGCTTGTCTACTTTGGAAGCCTGACCAATGTTGCTTCTGAGTGCATATCGTTATTGCTGTCTTTGTTGCTATAACCATCTTCACGTCAGACATCCGTTTAGTATAACGACAGTAACTGCTGTGTAATTTTTGTTTCGTAAAGAATCTGTCAGGGTTTTAATCTGTTTCACGCCAGTTTCGTGAACGTAAACGTTCTGTGTACACTAGAACGTAAACATGTTTTAAAAAAAATTTGCCAAGGAATTTGTACTGACATTTAATTTGTACTGCCACTGTAATCGAACTGCCATTTTAATTGCCTGGCATAAATTTATATTGATTTGTAACCTAAGTTCATTTCAGAATATATGTGATAAATCTATAATGTTTCAGAATATATGTGATAAATCTATAATATTTCTGTGATGTTTGGTGGGTTAACACTTAATTCTACGTACGGGTTTCTGGTTAATTTACTGTTTCAAACGGGGATGGATGGATAACCAATTAAACACAAAGGAGGTGTTAATCACAAACGTGAACAAGAACAACGTTATTACGCAAGGTGTTTTATTTGTCCACTCTTAGACAACTAAACAAGTATACTTACAAATATTCAAGATTGTGCAGCTGTGAAAACGCCCTCTCGTGGACTGAAGACAAGGAGCAGTTTCTTAGTTTCCTGAAGAATACATTGAGAATACAATGAGAACATGGTATAACAAACACACAGTTCTTACGTTTAGGAATGTAGGCTACCACATTTCAATTTTAATCCCAGAACAAAAACAAACGAAATCCAAAGACGACTGTAACAATGACGTGGGCAGTTGGTCGTATTGTGTTTCAGCATATGTCATGGACTCGAGAAAATGGAAACAGATGACATAAAAAAGCCCAAATCTCTATACGTGAATTATTTATGTACGTAAAAAACATACACGATCAGCTTTAAAGCATGGGTGTTATCATGATTTCACTTAAGCACATGTGCTTAGATGGTTGTGCTCCCTCTTCACTATCAGAAACTATTCATGTTGGCAAATAATTCTGAATCAGTGATGAGCAATGTTTAAATAATGCTTCAACTGGTCAGTAAATGGGAAATCCATCATTCATCTGATGCATGGTGACCCGTGAAGGTTCGGGTTAGAATGAACCTTCAGTAACCCGTGCTTGTCGAAAGAGGCGACTAACAGGATCGGGTGGTCAGGCTCGCTGACTGGGTTGACATATGTCATCGGTTCCCAATTGCGCAGATCGATGCTCATGCTGTTGATCACTGGATTGTCTGGTCCAGACTCGATTATTTACAGACCGCCGCCATATAGCTGGAAAATTGCTGAGTGCGGCGTAAAACTAAACTCACTCACCCACTCTGATGCATGGTTGATGATGTCTCAGCCGTTGCTCACATTAACCCTCACTGATTCATCTACCTTACATTAAAGATGCCACGATTTGAAGCCAGAACACCCTTCACTCAATCACCCGTGTTCTCTGCTGTCTCTCCTGTACTGCTGTCAACCCGTGAAGATCCGTTTAGAATTGGTTTTCAGCAACCTATGCGTGTCGTAAGAAGCGACTAACGGGATCGGTTGGTCAGGCTCGCTGACATGGTTGACACATGTCATCGTATCCCAATTGCGTAGATCGTAGATTGACCACTGGATTGTCTGGTCCAGACTCGATTATTTACAGACCGCCTCTATTTAGCTGAAATATTGCCGTTTACGGCGTTAGCCAACAGCAGAAACTATTTATGCTGATAAAGAATTATGAGAAAATATATATGCCCAGCAATACTCACAGTGTCACAAGATTGTGAAGACCATTGAATATTTTGTGATTTCTAAGTTGGTTTGAGATCGGGTTATTCGACAAATCACTGCAAAATAGAAGCATATTTTACATAACACATTTTCAACGGATAATGAAACATAAAAAGTATATGAGAAAGATTTTAATGACTTTGTATTATTTGTGAAGGGGGGCAATGATGGGGGGCCCGGGATGAATGGGTGTATGAGTTAAACCTGACTCGAAGCCTTTTTCCAATATATCTGACACAAAATATTCATTTTAAAGAAGCAGAGTGGGAATTAGCCGCTGGCCCGCTAGCCCGTGGCGAGTAGAAATCCAGTCGGGCCAGTAAATCTCCACAGTCACTGGCCCTACTGGCTTGTGATTTTTCATGGGGTCTTTCTTTACATATGTCACTCTCTCTGACTACTTAACTTATTATATACATTTAAATCATGCAAGATTATGGCCTGATAAATGATGGTATTTACCTTTTTACCTTTTTATAATATTTTGCTTAGTTTCCATATTCAAATATCGGGCCAGTGAATTATTTTGTGGGCTAGTAACTTTCAGGCATAGCTAGCCCGACTGGCTAGCAAAATTTACAAACTGTTTCGCGCACTGTCAAGAAGTCAGCAGGTCCTCAGCCAAGTTGCCCGTGTTGTACTTACACATCACACTAGTTCATGTATAACGCACGTGGTGTTTACCCGCTGACCTCGGGCAGCCAAGTCAAACAACTTTAAAAGAGTTGCACTGCAGACAAGATATCGATAGGTTAAGAGATGACGTTTCGCATATCGACAAAAAACACCCACATTACATGACGAACAGTGGCCAGTGCTTTTGAAATGTGAGTGCTTAAGTAATGACTCTCCATTGTGTCTGATTCACAACGAAATGAATCTTTTTTTGTGAGTGTTTCTGCGGCCGGAACCGATACACCTTTCATGCTATATACACTAGTTTTATTATAGGTTCAAGTCGTGGTTTTAATGAGATATATATTTTGTTTCATAGGCGAAGACAAACGTGAGTGGGCCGGAATGCTTTTAGAAAATGAGCTAAGATGATAGCATTACCACTGGTCTCATTAGAATCACTGTAAAACAGCTGTACATCCATTTAGATTAAAACGCGTTACCTACAGGCATAGACGTTTCTTTATGTGGTATTTCCAATCAGGCGGAGTATTCCTTTTAGAGAACACTATTTCCATTTTGACAAGTTCTCCTTTCATTATGTTTAATATCTTGAAGTGTGTATAGATTTTCCTCTTTCATAATATATCATACAATATAATCCAGCAAATACGTTTTGATGTGGGTAGCCTAATCGTTAGTTTCACCAAGGTTAGATGAACTTGGTTTGATTCTCAAATTGGTAACGTGCGAGGCTTATTTCTGTTACCCTCCCGCCCAAATATTTCTGGAAACTTGCTAAAAGTGGCGTAAAACCCAACTCGCTCATTCGTATCTTAGAAATAAGGGTCTATTGTGAAATTCTTTGCGTATCTATCTACTTGTACCCTGCTAGAGAGACCACGTACCCTTCCACCCCTATCTCCACCCTACCCCATAACTTAATGTATGTCTCTGTCAACATGTCTATGTTAACATTTCGTTGTCTTCGTTAATATGATTTTATTACATAGAAACCGGGGCGGTGGGGTAGCCTAGTGGTTAAAGCGTTCACTCGTCACGGCGAAGACCTGGGTTCGATTCCCCACGTGGGTACAATGTGTGAAACCCATTTCTGGTGTCCCCCGCCGTAGTATTGCTGGAATATTGCTAAAAGCGGCGTAAAACCCAACTCACTCATCACTACAGAGAAACCGATTTGAACATTCAGATTGACGTATCTCCAATATCTGATTGTACCTGTCGGAACCAACACAGGCGTCTCACCATGATTTTTATTGATGTAGTAATGATGAATGATTGAGCAGGTTCTACCGTTAGGGCAGAATACGCACCTGTTTCACGAACACCAGGTGTCTCATTATCAATGATATATATCAATGATTTTCACCGCTATTTTACGTTTTACGTTGAGCCTGATTGTTAGCGATGACATATATTTATTTAATCTGTACAAAATATTACTGACTAAAAATCAGTTGCAGTCATCACCGCTGTGGCAGCGTTTTACTCATAGAACAGACTGTCGACTTCATATTGGAGGAAATCTCAAAGTAATGTAGATCTTAGACAGTAACTACTTTGATGGAATCTGCTATTATGGGTATGGAATTGAGAGATTATTTGCCAATCAAGGAAAATCCGAACCCTTGATCATCGGATCCCAGCTCGCCTCGGGGACGCAACCCCTATTACTTCAAGATATTTCATTTATCGATCACAGGTTACACACACTAATCATTATTTCTGTCATACCCGGCTGTAACACTGTATAAAGTTACAGTTGGACGCTTTCAAAGCGGGAAACGGGCAAATGGAAATGAGAAACGGGAAATAGGACTGAAGTAGGCCATAGGTAGTAAAAGTGACTTTCTGGATTTCTGAGAACGAAGTGTTTTTAAGTGTACAGATTAAACATTGCTGTATGTACTTACAGTTCTTGCAGTGCTGGTAAATCCGCAAAGGCATTGGAATATATTTTATCCAATCTGTTATTGCTCAAGTCTCTGAAATACATAAAGGGTGACAGTTAAAACCGTATATATTTGACATATTCCAAGACGTGACACATTTCAACTTGCACTTTCTTGGCCTGTGTTGATAGTTGCATTGATGCTACTTGTCTTAAATTGTCACTTGTTTTCCTAAGAAATAATAATTAACACAGACGGCTCACAGTCGAAGAGATCTACACATAACCATGATACAACACAAACATTTAAACACACTGTGTTTTACAACATTCGTTATATTTAGGATTCATACTTTGTATGTTTGAATCGTGGGTTAAATGTTTGGACATCACTCTGGTAAAAAATTCGAAAGAAATGTTTAATAGAACAATTAATTTTAGTGTATTGATATTTGTATTTGAAAAAAAAACCCACGCAATTTTTCTGATTTTCTAAAGATGCTTTTTCTGCATTTCTTTCCACGATCGCACAATCAGTGTAGGAATGACTGATATGTACAATTCATGATAATTCAGCCAACTTGCGTCATCTGGGAGTGGATATCAGTCTGTGGTTAGAGAAGTGAAAATAGCTTTTGAAGCAGGCAAACTATATATTAAAGAATACCTTTTCAAAGTGTCGAGACTTAATGCTTTATTATATCGCGTTTTGTTTTCATTTGCCTAGCGATCACATTTTGAACACCATTTCAGATCATGAATATCACAAATACAGAATCGATACTGCCTAAGTGATCTTGCGGCTAAAACCACCACTGATTGTTTGCTTAAAGTCGCCCTTGGAAACATTTCAACCGTAGGATAGCTGTCTAGCGAATCAGACAACCCAGAGAGTGACAGTATGAGCATTAATCCACGCAATTAGGATACCATGAAATGCAGTCAAGTCATCGAGGCTGAGTATACAATCCATTAAATCGCCTTTTTCGATCAGCATAGGTTTCCCAGCACAGAGACCCGTGAAGATCCGGATTAGACTTGATGATCTTCAGTAACCCATGCTTGTCGTAAAAGGCGACTAACGGGATCAGGTGGTCAGGCTCACTGATTTGGCTGACACATGTTAACGTATCCCAAATGCGTAGATCGATGCTCATGCTGCTGATCACTAGATTGTCTGGTCCAGACTCGATTAAAACTAAACTCACTCACTCATTTCTAGCACATGGACTAATGGAAAGGCATATTTAGGGTTCCTTTGACCTAAAGAATTTAAAAACCTGAAGAAATGAGCTGAAGAACCTATTCTCGAAGTCATCAGAAGCATTCACATAAATGATGACTAAATTGCTCATTAAAACATTAAATATCCATGTAAAGTGAAAATACAACAACACAAAATGTCCAAGTTTTGAGATTTTGAAGAAAGATATTTTAAAAACGTTAACAAATATATGAGTCAAGCTGAGTTTCTTAGAACTACTGAAAAAAAGACACAGCATATTCAACCGTATGGCAAGCAATTCATCTTGGATCACGAATATGCCCTTAGATGTTTCTTTGGAAATGTCAGCTTTTTACACACATACTCCCGGGCAAAAGGAAGTATACATGTTTGATAACGCTTACAAATGAAACAAACGAGATACAGATATTCGTGTTATTCGATGGTCATTTATTAAGTTGATGAGGGTGTCATTTTCGTGTTTAGGCATAACTCTTGCAGTGTTGTGGCGACTGTTTGGGCTAACTAACGTTTTGATAACCTTTGGAATCTTTTTCATCAAATTCTTCCTTCAAGTTTATAGTTTCTTTTGCCTGCAGTTTTGTAGCCGTACTTTGTACTAAGTAGATTCAATTAAATGTCAAACCAAACTTTGTACCAGTATTAATTGTAACATTAATAATTTTCCATTTGGCCAGCATGATCATAATCACACCTTGTCCTTAAGCTGCCGATAGTTGTAGACTTTCACCTATTTACTCTCTGGAAAGTGAAATAGGTCGAACAATGTAACCAGCCACGAGCGTCGAGCATAGCACTTTAGTTTCTCCCGCAGTAATTATATTGGTACTGACGCCATTCCACTTTGCGGCGGTTGTTTGTGAATGGTGTTACTGATAGACCAGCTGACGTTTGTAGTTAGCGTCTTAATTTCAGGACAAACTAACTCGCTCAACATCCCCCGCAATAAATTGAATTATTCCAGTAGTGTCATTAACATTGACACGTCTTCCGAAGATGTGTGTTTGATTGGTTGGTTGGTTGTTGTTTAATATACTCAGCAATATCCCAGCTATATGGCAGCAGTCTGTAAATAATCAAGTCTTGACCAGACAATCCAGTGATCAACAGCATGAGTATCGATCTACGCAATTGGGATACGATGACATGTGTCAACCAAGTCAGCGAGCCTGACCACCCGATCCGTTAGTCACTTCTTGCGACAAGCATGAAGAACAATTCTAACCCGGATCCTCACGGGTCGCGTGTGAAATAGAGGAACAGACTGTGCGTATATGTGTGAGTGGGAGAGTGCGCGTGCACGTGCATGCCTGACTTTTACGAAAACTAAATCTGTTCCCATAAATGCTGTAGAGATAAAATTCGCCCACGTGTGTACTTATTCCTTCCCTCGAATACAAAACCGGATGGTCCCTGAGGCCAGAAGCTGTCTAGAGTCTCCTCCATTAGCTGTCATAAATCTCCTCCATTGACATCCTGCTCATGACATTTAGTGCCCACGTTTTTCATCAAAACGCCGAACGTGGACGATCTGTGTCACATTTGGCGTCCCCTCTAATGTTAGGCAGACACGAAGTTGTGTCATTAGCCTGTTGCTGAAAGAACTTGCGTATGGATGTCTATGTGCGACGCATTAAGAGTCGTAATTGAGTCTTGTCCCAGGCAGACTTACAGAAAAGTCTCGTGTCAGGGTCACCACAACATCTCCTGCACATGTTATAGTTTAGTCATTCACATTTCTAGTTAACTTTTCGTTTATTTGAGAATCTGGCTATGGGGCAGGACGGTTCCGGAATATATCGTATATAACGAAACGTTCACCGGCCACTCTCCACCCGTGACCTACGCCCAGCTTATACTGTAACCTACATTTATTTAATAAATCTAATCTGTTTAAACTTAAACGGATATTTCAATAAAGAAAACAAAACATTAGAAAAACCTCACTAATTTTTAAATGCATTGTCAAATGTTTTGAAATTGTAGACGAATTGTACTATAATAATGATAATAATTTATTTATTTAACTATTGTATTTTTATTTGTATATTATGGTATTATGTACCACCGTGTACCACCGTGGGTGTTTCTTTTAGGGAATAAAATGTCCTGTTCTGTTGAAAAATAAGAAATACCCCGGGAAGAACTTAGTGACGTCATGATCCATTCAGATAGGTTGTCTCCCTTCTCCAGTACTCCCTAGTGATATGATACACGTTATTGTTAGGAGGCAAATTAACCTATACCCACCATTTATAATACACATGTTTAGAAGGTAGATGTACCCGTGAAGAACTGTTAACATATTTAAACTAATTGGATCTAACTGAAAACGCACTGAAGCACTTATCATTAACATAAATAAATATATATATGAATAAATGGTTTCCGGCTTGGGTCATGTGTTAGTCACGTGCACACAACTTGTAGACATCTAAACCAATCGCAGATGATCCATGGATATGTGCAGAGTTCCACAAAGCGATCTGAGCGTTACGACTGACGTTAGTCTATGTTAAGGAACCATAACTTTGGGCAACGCGACATGATCCGAAGGGCCTGCCATACAACATCTACACCGGTACTTACAACGTGTCCAGATTCGTGAAGTTGAGGAAGTCATCGGGGAGAAGAACTGTCAGTTTGTTTCCGGAAAGATTTCTGTAAACAAAACCAAAAATAATGTGTGTGATTGTTCTATAAGTACTATTGACAGTTGATACTGAAGAGTTGTTGGTAACTATCAGCGCCATCTCAATATTGATAACACTAAGTGGGCAAGACTAACAACGCAATCTTAAGAACATCTTTGTACCAAAAGGTCTAGTCTTGTCAGTCGTAAATTAAGAATGACAACACCGAATCTACACTGAAAACGATTCGGAATGATAACACGCGAACACGCAATGATAACACCCGACTGACCAAAAATAAATAAGACTCAATGATAACACATAATCATCAGTGTTACCGAGTGGGCAATGATAACACCTCCAAAGCAATAATAAATATGACCTTACCATGATAACACCAAATCATCAATGTTCGCATAATGTCGACACTGTTAACTCAACACAGCAAAAGGAAGTCCCTTGACAGCAATGTCAGCACAACCTCACCAACGTCAGCAATAATAACACCGACTCAACAAATATTACACCAAGTCAACAATGTGTGTACCACCACAGCAATAAGAACACCGACTCAACAAATATTACACCAAGTCAGCAGTGTGTGTACCACCACAGCAATGAGAACACCGACTCAACAAATATTACACCAAGTCAACAATGTGTGTACCACCACAGCAATGAGAACACCGACTCAACAAATATTACAGCAAGTCAGCAGTGTGTGTACCACCACAGCAATGAGAACACCGACTCAACAAATATTACAGCAAGTCAGCAGTGTGTGTACCACCACAGCAATGAGAACACCGACTCAACAAATATTACACCAAGTCAGCAATGTGTGTACCACCACAGCAATGAGAACACCGACTCAACAAATCAACAAATTACAGCAAGTCAGCGGTGTGTGTACCACCACAGCAATGAGAACACCAACTCAACAAATATAACACCAAGTCAGCAATGTGTGTACCACCACAGCAATGAGAACACCGACTCAACAGATATTACTCCAAGTCAGCAATGTGTGTACCTCCACAGCAATGAGAACACCGACTCAACAAATATTACACCAAGTCAGCAATGTGAGTACCACCACAGCAATGAGAACACCGACTCAACAAATATTACACCAAGTCAGCAATGTGTGTACCACCACAGCAATGAGAACACCGACTCAACAAATATTACACCAAGTCAGCAATGTGTGTACCACCACAGCAATGAGAACACCGACTCAACAAATATTACACCAAGTCAACAATGTGTGTACCACCACAGCAATGAGAACACAGACTCAACAAATATTACACCAAGTCAGCAATGTGTGTACCACCACAGCAATGAGAACACAGACTCAACAAATATTACAGCAAGTCAGCAGTGTGTGTACCTCCACAGCAATGAGAACACCGACTCAACAAATATTACACCAAGTCAACAATGTGTGTACCACCACAGCAATGAGAACACCGACTCAACAAATATTACACCAAGTCAACAATGTGTGTACCACCACAGCAATGAGAACACCGACTCAACAAATATTACACCAAGTCAGCAATGTGTGTACCACCACAGCAATGAGAACACCGACTCAACAAATATTACACCAAGTCAGCAATGTGTGTACCACCACAGCAATGAGAACACCGACTCAACAAATATTACACCAAGTCAACAATGTGTGTACCACCACAGCAATGAGAACACAGACTCAACAAATATTACAGCAAGTCAGCAGTGTGTGTACCACCACAGCAATGAGAACACCGACTCAACAAATATTACACCAAGTCAGCAATGTGTGTACCACCACAGCAATGAGAACACCGACTCAACAAATATTACACCAAGTCAGCAATGTGTGTACCACCACAGCAATGAGAACACCGACTCAACAAATATTACAACAAGTCAGCAGTGTGTGTACCACCACAGCAATGAGAACACCGACTCAACAAATATTACACCAAGTCAGCAATGTGTGTACCTCCACAGCAATGAGAACACCGACTCAACAAATATTACACCAAGTCAGCAATGTGTGTACCACCACAGCAATGAGAACACCGACTCAACAAATATTACACCAAGTCAGCAATGTGTGTACCACCACAGCAATGAGAACACCGACTCAACAAATATTACACCAAGTCAGCAATGTGTGTACCACCACAGCAATGAGAACACCGACTCAACAAATATTACACCAAGTCAGCAATGTGTGTACCACCACAGCAATGAGAACACCGACTCAACAAATATTACACCAAGTCAGCAATGTGTGTACCACCACAGCAATGAGAACACAGACTCAACAAATATTACAGCAAAGTCAGCAGTGTGTGTACCTCCACAGCAATGAGAACACCGACTCAACAAATATTACACCAAGTCAGCAATGTGTGTACCTCCACAGCAATGAGAACACCGACTCAACAAATATTACACCAAGTCAGTAATGTGTGTACCACCACAGCAATGAGATGTGTGTACCACCTCCACAGCAATGAGAACACCGACTCAACAAATATTACAGCAAGTCAGCAGTGTGTGTACCACCACAGCAATGAGAACACCGACTCAACAAATATTACACCAAGTCAGCAATGTGTGTACCACCACAGCAATGAGAACACCGACTCAACAAATATTACACCAAGTCAGCAATGTGTGTACCACCACAGCAATGAGAACACCGACTCAACAAATATTACACCAAGTCAGCAATGTGTGTGTACCACCACAGCAATGAGAACACCGACTCAACAAATATTACACCAAGTCAGCAATGTGTGTACCACCACAGCAATGAGAACACCGACTCAACAAATATTACAACAAGTCAGCAATGTGTGTACCACCACAGCAATGAGAACACCGACTCAACAAATATTACACCAAGTCAGCAATGTGTGTACCACCACAGCAATGAGAACACCGACTCAACAAATATTACACCAAGTCAGCAATGTGTGTACCACCACAGCAATGAGAACACCGACTCAACAAATATTACACCAAGTCAACAATGTGTGTACCACCACAGCAATGAGAACACCGACTCAACAAATATTACACCAAGTCAGCAATGTGTGTACCACCACAGCAATGAGAACACCGACTCAACAAATATTACAGCAAGTCAGCGGTGTGTGTACCACCACAGCAATGAGAACACCGACTCAACAAATATTACAGCAAGTCAGCAAGTCCACAGCAAGCAGGTGTGTACCACCACAGCAATGAGAACACCGACTCAACAAATATTACTCCAAGTCAACAATGTGTGTACCTCCACAGCAATGAGAACACCGACTCAACAAATATTACACCAAGTCAGCAATGTGAGTACCTCCACAGCAATGAGAACACCGACTCAACAAATATGACACCAAGTCAGTAATGTGTGTACCACAACAGCAATGAGAACACCGACTCAACAAATATTACACCAAGTCAACAATGTGTGTACCACCACAGCAATGAGAACACCGACTCAACAAATATTACAGCAAGTCAGCAGTGTGTGTACCACCACAGCAATGAGAACACCGACTCAACAAATATTACAGCAAGTCAGCAGTGCGTGTACCTCCACAGCAATGAGAACACCGACTCAACAAATATTACTCCAAGTCAACAATGTGTGTACCTCCACAGCAATGAGAACACCGACTCAACAAATATTACACCAAGTCAGCAATGTGAGTACCTCCACAGCAATGAGAACACCGACTCAACAAATATGACACCAAGTCAGTAATGTGTGTACCACAACAGCAATGAGAACACCGACTCAACAAATATTACACCAAGTCAACAATGTGTGTACCCCCACAGCGATGAGAACACCAACTCAACAAATATTACACCAAGTCAGTAATGTGTGTACCACCACAGCAATGAGAACACCGACTCAACAAATATTACAGCAAGTCAGCAGTGTGTGTACCACCACAGCAATGAGAACACCGTCTAATAACGTCTGACTTAGTAATGATAGCTTGACACAGCAATAACACCGTATCAGCTTTCATAACACCAACAGTACTGCTAACATTGACGTAGAAATGCTAAAGCCTGACTCAGCATGGATTACACCGACACTGATTTCATAACACCTCAGCAAGGTTAACATCGACACTTCAGTGGGGTAGTCTAATGGTTAGAGCGTCCGCTCACCACGCTGAAGATCAGGGTTCGATTCCCCACACGGGTACAATGTGTGAAACCCATTTCCCTGATATTGCTGGAATATTGCTAAAAAGCGGCGTAAAACCATACTCACTCACTCACCTCCACAATGGTAACACCAACATAGCAATGGTATCACCAACTCAATTTCAACATTAACTAAAGAATGACACTACTAACTTTAAAAAGTTAACAAAGCCTTTCAAACGTGAAAACCACATCATTCGGTTCCCCTATTTCACAGGGACGTCGTAAATTTGATATATCGACAGTTATTGAACATTTATGCTGCTGTAAGACATTAAGTCACTCCAAACAGCTGAGTCCCCTGGTGTGGACGGTTGCTAATATGATATTTATGATTGATGATGATATTTTGATTCATGGATATGGCTATAGTTATGAAACATGGTATTAATCCCAGGAGTATGGGTCAAGACGTTTTGGCATGAATAAAGATATTGTAGACAGTGTTCGTGTCAGTCGGTGAGGCAAGAGAATGAGTGGTATGTCTCACACGAAACCTCCGCGTCAATGACAAATCTGATATGCGATACAAAAATCCGGCATGCCAAACATGGAAAACGACACATTTTTGTTTTACGCCGCACTCAGCAATATTCCAGCTATATGACAGCAGTCTGTTCAAATCGTGTTTGGACCAGACAATCCAGTGATCAACAGCATGAGCATCGATCTACACAGTTGGGAGACGATGACATGTGTTAACTAAGTCAGCGAGCCTGACCACCCGATCCCGTTAGTCACCTCTTACGACAAGCATGGGTTCCTGAAGACCATTTCTAACCCGAATCTTCACAGGTACAT